GTGTGTGTGTGTGTGTGTGTGTGTGTGTGTGTGTGTGTGTGTGTGTGTGTGTGTGTGTGTGTGTGTGTGTGTGTGTGTGTGTGTGTGTGTGTGTGTGTGTGTGTGTGTGTGTGTGTGTGTGTGTGTGTGTGTGTGTGTGTGTGTGTGTGTGTGTGTGTGTGTGTGTGTGTGTGTGTGTGTGTGGTGTGTGAGTGTGTGAGTGTATATGTGTGTGTGTGTGTGTTTGCGTGCGTGCCTGCGTGTGTGTGTATGTACCTGTGTGATTGTGTGTGAGATTGTGTGCGTGTGTGTGTCAGTGTGCGTGCGTGTGCGTGCGTGCGTGTGTGTGCGTGTGTGTGTGTGTGTGTGTGTGTGTGTGTGTGTGTGTGTGTGTGTGCGTGTGTGTGTGTGTGCGTGTGTGTGTGTGTGCGTGTGTGTGTGTGCGTGTGTGTGTGTGGCGTGTGTGTGTGTGTAAGTATGTGTGTAAGTGCGTGTGTAAGTGCGTGGGTGCGTGTGCGTGTGCGTGTGTGTGTGTTTTAAGTGTGTTTAAGTGTGTGTAAGTGTATGTATGCCTAAGTGTGTATATATATGTGTAAGTGTGTTTTATGTGTGTGCGTGTATGTGTATTCATGGATGCACATCTCTTGTTCTCGCTATCAATCTTCCCATTTTACAACCCCCCTCTCTAGGGGGGGTTAAGTCCGTGTGTGAAGAACTTTGATCTATATTTTTCACTCTCATCCTCTACCTTTCCGTGCTCCTTCCATTTCTCGCATGCCCTCTAAAGTTCCTTTGCCCTCGCCTCTCTCTCTCTCTCTCTCTCAAACACACACACGCACGCACGCACGCACACACACACACACATATACACACATCCTCTCTTGATATGCTGTACCCACGTGCTGTTCCTTCTGTTATGTTTTATTTTGCACCTCCTACTTTTACTTTGTAATTATTTCCTCGATAATATATCTTCCTCTGCTCCCTCTCAGGACGTCTCGGTGTCTTTGTCTACACAAAATGAGGGCCAGGAGGAGGGACTTTAACGGCGAAGTATACAGCAACTGCCTCGAGTCCAGAGGTGTACATGGGCGGAGAGCAGGTAGCATGACAGCATACAGGAAACGAGAGGCGCAGGGCAAGACGAGCAGCAGCAGAAGGAAGGGGAGGCAGACAGGTGAACTGGCTAGGCAGGCAGTAGACTTGCAGACGGCAGAGCGGCCACACGGGCCCCACCCCGTCTTACATCACTCACTGGGCACCTCACGTATACCACTGATCGTCCTTTTATCCTTGCTATCGGAATCAGATTTTCCTCATACCTATGTATCTGTTAGGTTTCCTGCCTAGTGTAATGTACTTTAATTATAAAATATGTGCGCATCCTCTGAAACAAATGTACCGCATGGGGAGACACGCAGAGAACACAGAAACACGCACAAACACGGAACATTCTGGCGAGCGCTCTACCATCGCCTTAGGTGGATCGAAGATCTACTGAGGAACGTCTTCGCGTGATAGTCACGCACGGAAGGTTACCTCGTAAACAAGAGGTCATGCACAAGTTCCTATTGTGCCATGCGTGCTGAGAGTCACGCTGCGGCGATGGTACAGCGGGCATAAGGGTGTAGCAGGTACAAGAGAGGTGTCGTTGTGTATCTGGAGGTTCTGTTGCATCGTGAGGGTGAGTGTACTCCGGATGTTGTGTTCAGGGCGCGAGTGTCTTGCTTGTGAAAATTCACCATGAAAATGTGTGACCTTGGAGTAGCGATGCGACGGTGAGTATGACCCGGCTGGGCCAGGCGAGCATGAGAGCATAAAATCGTGTAGCAAGGTGATGTGAGCGAGGGAGATTGCGGTGAGTAATCTTTGCAGTAGAACTGGCCGGAACCTTCCCTCAGCTGTACGGCAGAATCTTGTCTAAGGCTTTTGGAAAAGAGGGCGACGCTAGGAGTACATTTTACTTCTTACAAATAGCGCCATATTAAGGGGTGTGAGGATATGAACATCCAATGATGGTGAAGACCTCTTAACATATGGACACTCGAGTAAAATGACCGATATACATGCATAACACGGAAGAAAAACCTACTTCCGTTTATCTTGTTTTTTTCTCTCACTAACGTAATAATAACTGTTTACTGCTCTAGTTTGGTAACACTATAAATTCTAATCAATAATAATAATAATAATAATAATAATAATAATAATAATAATAATAATAATAATAATAGCAATGATAATGATAATAATGAGAATAACAATAATAATGATGATGATGATAACACCAATAACAATAAAAATAATAATAACAATACTAATAAAACCACTACCAACAACAATAATAATAATAATAACTATAATAATGATAATGATAATGATAATAATAATCATAATAATAACAATAATAATAACAACTAAAGGAACAATAATAATAATAATAATAATAATAATAATAATAATAACAAAAAACAATAACAATAATAACAAAAACAATAACAATAATAATAATGATGATGGTAATGATAATGATATTGATAATATATAATAATAATAATAATAATAATAATAATAATAATAATAATAATAATAATAATAATACTGATAATGATAATAATGATAAAAATAATATTGATAATAATAATAATAATAATAATAATAATAATAATAATAATAATGATAATAATGATAATAATAATAATGATAATTATAATGATGATGATACTTATAATAAACTAAGGAAATTACTTCAAGCAAACAATACCAATAAAACTGTTTAAAACATCGGAAACAATAAACTGCCTTTCTGTCAGCTCTCACCTCGTACTACTAAATACACAGACATACGCATCCGTGTGAATCCCCCTTAGAACGCATGAAATCGGCGAGCGCATGCGATGGCCAATCTCCATTTTTCGCGCGATATATTCCGGATTATGGACGCAAATTCAATATCATATTTTCGCTCGTGACGAAACGCCGATCGAAAACATAAAAGTGTATTTGTCGAATATTTCCGGACTGATTGCACAGATCGAGTTTAAGTCAGGGACTCTTTTCCATTGAGATTCCTACACAGCTGAAAAAGTCCCTGGCACATCATGACGTTGTTCTTGCAGCTTCCCATATTAGGCGGAATTGCGCTAATTTAAGGTTATAATGGGCGCGCGGGCGGTTACGAGAAAGGCGGGCGCGGGGGAGGAGGGAGACCAAGGTAGGATGAAGGATCAATAGCAGAGTGCATGGTCGGTGTCCTCCTCCAAGACGGTCGAGACACGCACGCACGCCTCCCCTCACCCTCACGTGTGTCTTGGGGGTCACGTAATTGCTCGAGTGACCCTACGCGAACGCACAAGCCTGTGTGACCTGATCTCCAGGTCTGCCTGAACTTTTCGCTCAGAACACAAATGTATGAATATACTGTACACCGTAATTTAAGAAACCTCAACACGTAGAAATCCCGTCTTCGATAATCTTGTACGCAGACGGCGGATGAATTACTTTTTAACTAAATGTATATGGGGTTGCAAGCATGGACTCCTTTGTGATTCGCCTTTTATGCACCCAGCCATGCCTACCCCACTTTAAGCCATTATGTAGTCCAGGAGACAAATATCGTAGTTCCGGAGGTTTATGGTTATGTCCCCAGGTATTTTTTGGAAAATAATAACAGAATCAATCTAAAAATGTTTCGAGCATCCTACATATACTTTCAAGTCCAACCCAATAAAAATCTTATTTGAAGAATGATTCTGATTTCTTTTTTTTTAGTTTTGCTCTGACAATGAAAAAAAAAAAAACTTGTCACGGTACCTCCTCAATGACGAGTTCTGTATAGCTCATTATACCGCGAGTCTTCTGATAAGACAAAAGTTCCCATGGTCGTTTAATACAATTGACATGAATTACCACTGCTTTAACTAAGCACAATTACTAAACTTTGTACTATAAATTTTATCCTCTTCACAATATTATCTATATATAATTTCAACATAACTGGTCGTTGCAGTGTTTCTCTCGAAATCTCTCCTTCGTAGAGAAGTTTCTGTTCATCTACGAAGGCATAAAATGGTAAGGTAAGGGGTGATATAAAACAGGATCTGATGGCAAATGTATTCATAACTGTGTGTCTTTTGAATATGTACATAAATAAATACAGTACATACATCATACATAAACCATTCCTCATATATGTATATGTATCTATGTATACATATATGTATATATGTATGTATATATGCTTGCATGTATGTATGTATGCATGTATATATGTATGTGTGTATGTATCTATGTACACATGTATGTGTGTATATACATATATATATATATATATATATATATATATATATATATTATATTATTTACTATATATATATATATATATATTATATATATATACATATATTATATATCATATATAAATATCATATTTACACACACACACACACACACACACACACACACACACACACACACACACACACACACACACACACAACACACACACACACACACACACACACACACACACACACACACACACACACACACACACACACACACACACACACACACACACGATATATATATAAAAAAAATATATATTTACATATGTATACATATATATATTCAATATATATGTGTGTGTGCCTATAAATATAGATAGATAGGTAGATAGATTTCCATATACATATACACATATATTTGTATATATACGTATATATATATATATATATATATATATATATATATATATATATATATATATATATATATATATATATATATATATATATATATATATATATATATATATATATATATATATATATATATATATATATAATATATATATATATATATATATATATAATATAATATACATATATATATATATATATATATATATATATATATATATATATATATATATATATATATATATATATATATATATATATATATATATATATATATCACACACACACACACATACAAAATTCAGATTATGTAGAACTTACCTCTTTGGTCTCATCAAGAGCTAGGGCACGAGCTAGCATAGCTGAAACTGTAGACTTCCCAACACCTCCCTTGCCAGACAAAACCAAGATTTTATATTTAATTGTATCTAGACGTTCTTTCACAGCACCAAGATCTGCAAGTGTAACAAGGGTGTTTTACATATGTATAAATTTACTACAGTGCTGCATACTGTGTCATTCTGAATATCAGAATCTGATCTTAAATTTTTTTTTTTGCCTCTTTAAGCAATCTAAAGAAAGCCTTATGCACAATATGCATCATATGCATCATTTTTCAGAAACTGCACATTAAACAGTCTAAAACTGATATGGGAATAATTATTAATATGTGCAATATATTCCCAAAGTACATCTGAAAAATGCATTGATGTTTACCTGGGTCTGGAGCTTTGGTTGCCCCAGAGGCACAAACTTGCTGATTCGGGCACCCAGCACAAGCAGATGCCTTTCCTGCATCTTCACTATTAGTCCCTGGACAATCTAAAATAATTAAAGAAAGAAAAAAAAAATAATATTCATACCAAAACTATGTGAAACAGTTAAACTTTCTTCTAAATACAATGGTATGAAGGGTCAAAAAGTATTATTGTTTCTGAATACTAAATGTCTCAGCTAACCCTCTTTGGAGATTTGTAGTGCACAATACTCAGTACTATTGAAATCTTTAAAGACTAATCTTAAATATCATTTTAGGAAACTGTGACTTTCTTCAACTCTTACTAAGATATTTAAATTTTTTGTTTCCTGAGCTCTTACACTCTGAGTAGCCTTAAGTGCATCTCATGACAGCAGATTCTTCCCCGTTCCCCTAACCTCCAATGAGTTTCCTTAGGTGATAGTATGCCATTTCCCTTGCCTACACATGTAGCTCATCTGCACCTTCAGCTTGAAAAAAATTTAACAAGAATCTTCTTTCCGATAAAATGAAGATTCATCAAAATTTTGTACTATGTTAATCAGCATTAGACATATAAAAAAAGAGAAAAATGTGAAGGACATACATAATCTTCCTTTTCTTTACTACAGAAAGAATATTTTCAACTAATTTTGATTAATTTTATCATGGTTATTTTTTCTGTATCAGTCAGTCTATCAAGGGAATCTAACTGTATGGGAGAGAAGCTTACAATGAAATCCATTAGTTTAGGTAACTTTCTAGATTATTAGACAGTACAGTGACTCAGATCAGTACATGTAAAAAAGTTACAGACTAGAAGCACTCATAGAGTGCATACCTGATATAATAAAGATATTCACTCTTGAAGAATCACATTAAAATAATTTCTTTCTCAAGTACATTGGTGATGTCTATAAACATAACCTCCTTGACACAGGTAATAAAGGTAATGATAACAATATTAGATCCTGGATCTGGATGATGATCTGGATCACCACCAAAAATTTATGGCATCTATGTCAGGCTGATATACCCCTCTGGTAACAATAATCTGTTCACAACTTTTTGAGTTATCCTGCTAACCAACCAACCATCAAACATCTCATAGGCCAAATAGAGTTCAGATAGAACTTACGATCATAATTCAGCACTGTAAACATCACTCTGTTTTCACTCAGTCATGAGATGTGACTGAGTTTATCTATCATTTCAGCAATCTCTTCATGTTATTTGGATAAGGATCCACTGATATCAAATCTGATGAATTTCAAGTAGACTTAATATAAAATATTTACCAATAGAGCTTGCAGACCTTGGTGATTAACTGTCAAATAAGGAACTAATCTAAACACTACCTTTCGAGATTATATATGATGGAAGTTTAAACTGGCAATTGCTGAAGCACAAAGGATACGGTGATCAACTGAGGCTACACCATCATGGTGCTGTACTTCTGAATGCCGGCAATCAGTTATTAATCACAGCAGACTTCAAGTAGATTTGGATGAATTGCAGCTAATATAACTACAAGAAAAAAGGTAGTAATTCTTTACAGTGTGGATGCACTCGCCTGAGACAAAGTCCCCCAACTCTACTTCACAAAATTCATTAAAAAATTTAGGTTGCCATGACTGGGTGTGCCATTTGATCACTGCCCAAGGGGAAAGTTGATGGGGGCTCTGCCGTGACACCCCTCCATTAAATTTTGCCTTCTCCTCAGTGTGCACATAAAGAAAGAGCTGAAACTCGGAAGCACCAAGTGGACTTAGGCTGTGGACGACTAAACTGATGATTACAACTTTTTGTCCTCTACAAGAATACCATCTTCAATTTACCTTAGCTTAGTGCATTCATACCATAAACATTAACCAAAAAGCATTTCCTGGAATCCATTGCAGATTATTCTGAACATCCATCAGGGAATAAAAGGTTCCTACAAAACAGATGCTCACTATTGTAACCTAATATAAGGATATGTCATAAAAACTTGAGCAATTCACATTTTTTCCATTTAATTATAAATTTTTCCCGGTATTTATCATAATTTCCTACTTAGTGAGGTCTGTTACTTTAAATACCATAGTTCACCCAAACTGTAGGGTTTGGTCTGCATGGAGAATGTGTTCCCCGCACAAAAATTATTTGGTCAAATTCTGTCCATGCAAATGTAGTTCTTGTGTAACTTTCCACGCATGCTTAGTTCTTTTTTAAATCATCTTCCGCGCATTACATTCTTTTGACATCTCCACGCACTTGTTTCATCATCCATCTGCAGATTCATCTGTGCAGAGGTAGACAAAATGATGTTTTCTGCACATGAAAAAATGTAATATTCCCCGCACCAGAAAAATAATCTAGTCTAGGAGCTCACTGTGAAAATATTAGTTTTCATTATATAACATAACACAAGCTGATAGATCATTGCGATATTCATAATCCCTCTTCTCATAGAATATGACTCTCCTTGAAATTCTTTAGAATTTACAGTTTAATTTATGCTTATTCATCGTGATTAACCTGGATGATGTGCAGCAGTGAATCTTTCATGAATTCTGCCTTATCCTAAATATTACACATTGATAGATTTGTATGTTTTCTTTCTCTGTGCTTATAAGAGTAATGTCAAACGGAATAGCTCAAACACATCATATATCAATAATCATGTACAGATTCTAATCTTACGTTCAGGGGCGTCCTGTGGCACAGAGCTCATGTGTTTTGCTGTTTGCGGTGATGTAAGATTTATATCTATCATAATATTATTATATATATATATATATATATATATATATATATATATATATTATATATATATATATATATAGTATCAAACACACACGGCACACAGCACTACATACATGCACACACACACACACACACATGGTGTGTATACCACTTGACCATCTTTCACCTGATGCAATGTGTTTGGCCTACGTGTGAAGCAAAAGGGATTGACTAAATTGGGGAAGAAAAAGGCTTGCCCTACTTCAGCACATCGTAAAATAGGTAAAATCTTCAAAACAAAATAAGTGTCGACTGAACGATTAATACGACAAAGTCTCTAAAAACCACAGTGAAGTAAAACAGTTGTAGAGTACAAGAGTTCGACCATTACAGCGAGAAAGGTAAACAACGATGAGCGGCGGAATCAGCATGGCGGGAATTCCTGCCTTGTACCACCAACCTCCAGCGGCTCTCAACAAGACCGTTGCCATGAAGACGGTCGACACAAGGCCCTTTGAACAGAGGTGAGTTGCTATAATTCCTTGTGCGCTTCATTGCTGTCATTGAGATTTATAATCTTTGGATATACGCTGGTGCTTATTTCACCCAAAAATCAAACTCAGATTATCATGAAATTGGTACAAACTGTCGGTTCAGTGTGCCTTGCTAAAGAAGAGGGAATGTGAAATAGCCGGAGAATCTGTAGGAGAACCAATACAAATCCATTTTATGCTACCAAATTTGCAACTTAGAATTACTGCCATTTTCCCCCAGTTTATCCCTGGTACCACCGACGCTGAGCCGCTCCTACCCCACCGAGAGCCGCGTGTTGGACTCGGTCAGATTCCCGAACATCTTCACGTCAGCCACTGCGACCATGAAAACCCGTTACACGCCCGCAGACTGGTCACAGAGTACCGTCTTTAATCCTTTATAGCGATTTCAATGTTTTCTTTCATTTGCCTGTTTTACATCAGCCAAACAGGACGTGGAAGACAAAAAGATTCGGTGATGTTATGTCGACAAAAGCTCTGGCCGCAGCTAACGGTTTAAGACCACGAATGAATCCAGTGGGTTTAGTATTTGCTAGATTTCATAAACTAAGTAGTCAAGCCTATTTATTTAACATTTTGGATATATTTACAAAAAAAAGGAATTAATTTCAGGTAAGCCAGTCAAGAAATTGTAAGCAACCACATTTTACGGCGTATTCATGATTTTGATTTTCCCTAAGTTGTGTTTGTTTCACTATATGATACTATGGTATCAGTCCTTCGTCCAGACTCGTATTTCCTTTAAGAATACGTTTTCTCTTATGTCCCTAGAACAGTGGTTCTTAACCTTTTTGGAGTCAAAGATCCCTTTCAGACCCTGAAGAAAGATATGGATCCCCTTCCCCAGAAATATTCACATAAACACGTTTGCATGCAATTTGTATAATGTACTTGATTTATTGAGTATTGTTTGTCTCAGACATATATGAGATACACAGTATTATTAAACTTCATCGTAAACAATCTAAAAAAGCACTAAAATAAATGTCAATTTAAATATGATCCTCACGGATCCCCATAAACCCTCTAAGGTCCATGGACCCCAGATTAAGGACTCTACCCTAGAGACACCTTGGAGCCGTACTATTTTTTATTCCCTTGGTGTATTTTAACCATTTTCTTTACTTAAATTGTACTCTTCGTTCGTATTTCGTTTTATGTTACCACCTCGTCTTTTCATGCCCAATGATGCACTTGGCATTTCACATCGATAATATGTTATTCCATAGCTAACTTTCGCTACTATGATTTCTTTTCACGATACTTTTTTTCTTTATATCATTTAAATTTTCTACACCCTTTTAAAGTTCTGTATTTCGAGATGTTTGATTCCTTAGGTTGGCCATTTACACCTACACACCTCCCGCAGGTAATCTGAACCATTATAGCGATGCAGACAGCACCCGCGGCGTTTCGGAGAGGGTGCGGGATGATGCGGTGCGGCTTGTTGGGTAAGAGCATTTGCACTTAGAGCAATTGCAAAAGGTGATCATTATTGTAGTTTGCTTGCAACAATCTATTTTAGGATGTTTGTTAACATTGGGATTTTCATGTGCCCTTGATATTTGTTTAAACATTATCAACAGCGTTTCAATACCTCTTCTGATGTACAGGTACACGTACGACCGAACCAACATCGCTCAGCGCGAGAGCTCTCAGCGCCTGGGGGAGCGCGTTAGCGATATCACCTTCTGGAGGAGCGAACTCATGCAGGAGTTAGACCGAATGCTGGCAGAGACCAATCGCCTTAATGACTCCCGAAGGGCCCTTGAGCATGCTCTGAGGGACACGGAAAACCCGCTGCACGTGACCAAGGAATGCCTCTACTTCAGGGAAAATCGCCAGGGTGCGCTACATTAACCCATCGTATCTAAATAGTGATATCTGATAGTTGATGTGAATTTTGGAAATGCTGTTACCTTTTCTATAGCTCAATTTACTGACCAGGTATCGACCTGGTGCGAGATCAGCCGGAGGAATCGCTCCTGAGGGAAGTGGACACCATCAAAGACTGCCAAGCCAGGATGAAGAACCTCCTGGATCGTGTCAATCTCCAGGTTTGCACTTGAACTGCGCATGTTGATCATGGCTCACGTACATATGATGTACTGTTGCGTAATGACGATTGTTATGTTACTTCTTGAAATATTTTTACTAATATGTAAAAGCTTGGGATGGAAAAGTTGGTCAGACATGTAAATATTTACGGTTTCGTTTGTGCCAAAATACAAGAGGAACCGTAAAATCATGGAATACCCTATTTAGACAAAATCTAGACAGTTTCACTTTGTCAGCAGCTAAGTCGGAACAGGGCAGCCCGACAGGATTTGGAGCATGACACCATGAACAAGAATCATGCACTTACCATCGACCATACCCAGCATAGCCTCCACAACCACTCTGCGGGCATCACTTATTACCCGGGAATAGAGAGGGTGGACAACACGTAAGTGAGATGAACTGCAACTCGTGATTATAATATAGGTTCATTTCATTCTCTTCAAAGGATGAACTCTAATTTACCCAGAAATTTGTGCGAAGGTTGCCCAAAAGTTAACTAAGTTCAGCTATCAGCTTCACATCCGATACAACAGTATTAATAACTCTAAACACTCCTCTGAATGCAGTGTGAGCGTTCCGGACACATGGGCGGAGTTCAGCAACAGGAACATCCAGCAGAGTCAGAGTGAGAGGAACAGCTCGCAGCGCCTTCGCCAGGAGGTGGAGGCCCTGATAGCAGCCACACACCAGGATATGTGGACCGCTTGGAGCACCTCCAACACCACGCTCACGCAGCGCCTCGGGGAGAGCAACGACACCAGGAATAAGCTCCTTGCTCACAGGGACAGGGTAAGGCCATGTGGAGAGGAAAGTTAAAGATGGTTGACATTTACCTCCAGATTTTCAGGGGACGAAGGATCTTTTGAGGGCTGGGAATACTGATTGCGCCGACATCTCATGGCAAAATCGATTGTCTATATAGATAGATAGATAAATAGATAGATATAGATTGATAGATAGATAGATACACACACACACACACACACACACACACACACACACACACACACACACACACACACACACACACATATATATATATATACATATATATATATATAATATATATATATATATATATTATATATATATTATACACACACACCACACACACACACACACACACACACACACACACACACACACACACACACACACACACACACATATATATATATATATATGTATGTATGTATACATATTCACACATAAGCATATATGTATATGTTTATGTATATCTATCTATCTATATATATTAGGGTAAAAGACTGCTTTCTTTGAATTTCTAATTTGTTAATTATATGCAGTGAAGTTTAATTAAAGAGTATACAGTAGTAACAAAAAAGTCATTCCCATACAGTTCACCGATGAGATCAAAATATACATGTGGCATTAGGGTGGCAACGCAGGTAAACCATACTCATTATCAACAAAATGGCAGTGACATTATATATAGCGAACTTATTTGCAAAGAAGTAGAACGAGATATTGACGCACTTCATTTATTTAACGCCACATAACAGTAGAAGTAATAAACCGGATATAATGATGAAACAACCCCTTGTTATTCAACGCTTGCAGGTGCAGCGGGAGATGAACGACCTGGAGCGCCACATCGACATGCTGAAGAAGGCCATCCTGGACAAGTCCGCCCCGCTGAAGGTGGTGCAGACGAGGCTGGAGGGCCGCACGCACCGCCCCGAGATGGAGCTGTGCAGGGACCCGCCGCAGCACAGGTAAACCCTTCTCTCCGTCTTCTTTAACTTTCTCGTTAGTCGGATCCTTTTCCTCTCTCGTCTCTTCAACTGCTTACTCTTCCTTTCTTCTCTCTTCAATCGCTTCCTTTTCCCTTTGCTTCTCTTCGTTTTGATTCTCTCCACCTATCTACGCTTACTTTTCCTTCTCTTCAGTCACTATCGTTTCCTCTCGATTCTATTCACTCGCGTCATTTCCCATTCTTTTCTTTTCATCCACATCCTCTTATTTCTCTTTTCTTTACCCATTTTACTTGTTTCCTTTTATTGGTCCTCCCTTCTCTTTCTCTTCTCTCTCATTCTCTTTAAATTCTTCTCTTTACAATTCTAGTTGCATCAGATTTCACGTTTCTTAAGCTACTATATACTAACAAGATAATTATCTGTCAAAATGGTGATGAGAGTACTTGGGTAAATAGGTTTGAAACTATTTTGAAACTTTGAGTGTAAAATTCGTCAGTAACCTTAGATCCAGGGTTATTTATGAATCTTTCAAAATGAAAATATATATAAGCATAGAAGAAGTTTCCCGGCAACGAATTACCATTCACTTCATCCGCCTGTTGCAGGATGGTGCGCGAAGTGCAGGAGTTGAGCGAGAGCGTAGAGGCCCTTCGCCACAAGC